CTTGGACATGTTTCCATCCTCATCATCTCAGCCATGGGAGTGAACGGAGATTTCCCCACTCCTGAGAAGGCGTCAGTCGCTGAGTTTGACTGAGAATGAAATGCTGCCCCTGTTCAGATGCAAAGTCAGCAACCACAGGCCAGGGCACAGACTGGGTTTTGTAATGCAAACGAGATCCTCCCGAGCCCTCCACATGGAAGCCCTCCAGTCTTGTCACACAAGTCTTAAATTCATTATTAACAATGCAGCACTGCTAATTGTACAATTGTAATGTAGCATTTGGTAATTGCTCACTCTACAAACACTGTAAAGGCCTTAGAGAATGCATCTAATTATGGGCTTGACAGAAAGCAGGCTGGAAATCAGTCCAGGGCTGCAGCAGTGAGGGCTCAGCTTCCCCATCCACAGAGCACTGGCAGGGGGAGTTACCAGGAGCTGAGAAACACAGGAAAAGCAGGAAAACATTCCTCTTTAGGGGCTGGACTTTAAAATAAAAAGGAAAAGAGCACCTGTGTGTGGAAGCTGCAGTGGGAAGCTGAAGACCAGAAGTGAAACAAGCGTTTTTGTCGAGGACAGCAGAGATTGGAGCAGCTCACCCAAGGGGCCAGGCGAGTTTCGCCTGCTGAAGCTGATTTCCTTCAGCCCAGCCTGGGTTCATTTCCAAGACAATTTCAAACAGCAGCAAACCCCAGACCCAGGGGCTCCAGGTGTGTGCCCTGTGGCAGGCCAGACTGGCAGGAGGCACCTGCCTCTGCTCCTGAAGGGATGGAGCCCCAGGAGCCAGGATCCTGTCCTTGGGAGGGGACAATGGCACAGGAGCCAGGATCCTGTCCCTGACAGGGGACAATGGCACAGGAGCTCCAGAGAGCTCCTTGTGGCCACAGCAGTGAGAGGGTAATCAGCAGTGAGAGGGTAATTAGCAGTGAGAGGGTAATTAGCGGTGCCAGCTCCTGACCCCGGCATTCTGATCTCCCTGACTCCTCTAAAGGAAGTTGTTAGTCAAGTCCTGTGCCTTCAATTACTGCTGATTACGGTGCAGCCATGGCATCCCGAGATTTCAAGCACAGTGAGGAAGTGCTGTGTGACTGGGGATCATCAGGCCACTGTCTGAGGGATGTCCATGCAGCATATTCCTGACAAGATGCTTTGTGCCAAACAGGTGACTTTCAGTGATGTTTAATCGGCACATAATATTATCAAAATAAAGCAGGCTGGCAGACTGAGACACAACAGACAGCCCAAGTCCTGCTCTTGCACCTCTCAAAAACCAGAATCAAAGGGATCCCTGGAGCCTTTTGAGTGTTCCTGTGAGTCCTGATAAATGTTTGGCAAACACAGCCCATAGCCAGCAGCCTGGTGTGTGCTGGGAGAGCATCACTGGGGCAGAGTGAGAGGGGACAGTGGCAGGAGGTGGCCAGGAGAGCTGAGGGTCTGCAGAGCAGCCACTGCATCCCATCCCTGTAGCAGCATCCCCACATATCCCTGTCAGGAGCTCAGCTGGGTCTGCTGGCTCTTGGGAGCAGAGCACACTGCGCTGGGGGTACAAAGGCCAGCTCACCCTGCAGCTCGTGCAGTGGGTCCCACAGCAATGGGGCTGCTGAAAGGCCAGCTCACCCCACAGCCCGTGCAGTGGGTCCCACAGCAGCAGGATGCTGAGCTTTCCCTCCTCATCCTCCTTTAGTGCTGCAGGGGATGCCCACAGCATGCTGATGGAGGGGAGGAATGAGCACTCACCCCTGGGCTGGGGTCTCCTCTGCTCAGAGCTATGAGATTCAGTCCTGGCTCATGCATGATGGAATCTCATTGGCTTGAGAGGTGAATGGGTGAATTCATGTCAATCCCTTGGGCAGAGAGGATCGACCCCTTGATGCTGTGCTTGGTTGTTGTATCTCCTGATGAGTTCATTAAAAAAGCCTAATTACAGAGCACTTTGTCCTGTGAGAGACCCAAAGGAGGGTGGCTGTGACTGTGTTCACAGGGGTCTCAGGATGAGGGAAGAGACGAGGATCTGACTCCATGTTTCAGAAGGCTGATTTATTGTTTTATGATTTATATTACATTAAAACTATACTAAAAGAATAGAAGAAAGGATTCCATCAGAAGGCTGGGTAAGAATAGAATAGCAAAGAATGATCACAAAGGTTTGTGGCTCAGCTCTCTGTCCGAGCCAGCTGACTGTGACTGGCCATTAATTGCAAACAACCACAAGAGACCAATCACAGATGCACCTGTTGCATTCCACAGCAGCAGATAACCATTGTTTGCATTTTGTTCCTGAGGCCTCTCAGCTTCTCAGGAGGAGAAATCCTAAGGAAAGGATTTTCCATACAAGATATCTGTGACAGGTGGCAGCAGACCCTCCTTTGGCTCCTCTGCCAGCTGTGAGGAGGGGTGGCTGTGCCAGGCAGCCAGAGCAGGGGCGCCCTCAGGAGCAGGGGCTGTCTGTGCCACCGAGCCCATTGGGACACTCAGGGTTTCCACCTGCTCAGAGAGGAGTGCCAGCAACACTGAGCCTGCAAAAACAAAAGAAGGGTGGGCAGCAGGAGCAATGAAGTGATTGTTAGCATCTCTGTGTCTCTAGAAGGGGTTAAATCCAAGCCTGGCTCAGGACCTTGAGCCTGGTTTGTGTTCTGAACATGCACAAGACCCTGGTAGTGAATGGCCAGGCCAGAGAGAAGAGCAGATCCTGGGCTGCAAACACCCTGTCGTGGTGCAGCTGAGGAATTCAGCACTTGGAAATTGCACTGTCTCTGCCTTATTAGATTATCTTGCTGCTCTTTCTTCCTCCTCTGTAGGGTTCTTTATTCAGAATTTGCTCAAATATTTTCCTTGAGAAGATTTAATATTTCAAAGTGCAAATATCCAAACCCTGTATCATTCTGTAATTTCATACTCTGTAGTTCTTTCATATGCATATCAATCATTTGCCATCCTTTTGAAGGATGCAGCTTGAGCATTGGTAGTGAAAGAAAACCCATTCAGTGTTGATTTTAATTGAACAAGCTTGGAAGCAGTGGGGATCCATGCCAGACGCCAGTTCTCTCTTTTTTGAAGAGTTATTACCAGAATTCTTTTGCTTCTGTGTCTCTATTTTTTTTTCCAATTAGCAGCTTCTCAAAAATATTAGTTATCTTATTATTTCCGTGGTTCTGCTTGTTTGGGATGTTTATGCATAATAATCACTGAATTCACTTTCTCCTCCCGTTGCAGTGGAATATTGTATTCCTTGTCTCTGCTGGAGCAACACTCCAGCCTGCATTCCAGAGCAATTTTGAAGTGAAGATGAACTCATTTTTGGTGCAAGCTTTTCATTGTGGTTATGGCAGTGGTGAGCTCCTGTGTACTCTAAACTGCAACTGTAGAGACTGTAAACATTATAAATTGAAAACTACAAAGGCTGTAAATAAAAGTTTATTCTTTCTTCTGTGTACAAATGAGGTGTAGTGTAGCTCTTCATTCTTCCACCATGGTGAGTTGAACATTATCCCTCAGCTAATGCTGCCTGGATAGAAGAGAGGAGATGGAATATCCAGAAGAGTAAAATTTTGAATTACTGGAGACACTTTTCTGTGCAAAATTTGGCTTAAGAAAAATACTTAAATCAGCAGCTGGTAGAACAACAAATTCCTGTCTATTCTGCAAAGGAGCTCTGCACATGTCTCAGAGAGTGCTGGGGGAATTGGGGCAGGCTGCTGATGGAGACTTTGCTGTTTTCTACTGAGAAGTCATCTGACCAAGAAAGGAATAAATTGTGTAAGAAATAAATGTGAACAAGGAAGAACTTTAAGAGATCGAGACCCAAAACTCCAATGTAAAGAGAGTGCAGGTGTAAAGGGAGCATGTTATTAAATCTCCAGAATGAAGGGGGAGACAGGCAATGCAGCACATCTTTGTGTTCAGGCAGGCCAGGAGAGCGGCACTGAGCCCTGCTGGCACAGGACTGGGTACCTGTGCTGCCTGTCAGGTGGTGCCCATCCCATCTGCATGGCACCAGCCTTTCTGGCTGCTGAAACCACGCAACCACAGCATCATCTAGATTGGAAAAACCCTCTGAGAGCATCGAGTCCAGCCACCCTCCCAGCGCCTTCCAGCTGTCCAGCGACTGGAAGCTGCCCTCAGGGATGGGCAATCATTGTCCTTCCATCCAGCAGGCTCAATGTCACCTTCAGAAGCCAACGTGGAGCTGTTTTCCCCTGACCCAGCTCATCAGAGCCCAGCCCTGCTCACAGCCCTGGCTCTTTCCCTGGCTTTGCCTTCCATGTCCAGCTGCGCTGGGCCCCTCAAATCCGCAAGAACTCAAACCCACCAGTGTGTCTGTTTATAGAGGAGGAATGAGGGGCTGCCCATGGTGCCAGCAGCCCTCTCCTCATGTCAGCTCTGCCCCAGCTCCATCTCACTCCTCAGCACTGCCTGCGAGCCACAGAGGGCCCCTGGCAGCCCCCAGTGCTCTGACCCTGCCTGCCTTGGGAACACCAAGCCCCAGTGCCTGCAGGTGACAGCCACACCTTTCAGAAGGAAATGGCCTTTTGAAGGTAACAGGTTTCTTTGGGTCAGGCCATTTTTCTAAATTATCACTGGCCTTAGTCTCTATTTTTATTCACAGTCCTGCAATATATCTGTTTCTTCCCATAATATTTCCTCCACCCGTTTCCAAATTAAACAATCCATGCTCTGGGCGAGCCCGTGTCCCTGCCAGGCCACCATGGGGGTGAGAAAACCCAAGGTGTGGGGCACAGAGCTGGCTGAAGAGAGCCCTGAGCTGGCGGGCACAGCCTGCCCATGGGGTGTGGGCTGAGGCAGACAGGCTCCTTGCCAGCACAGCTGGCTTTGCCCAGTTGTGCCTCTGGACCTTCCCAGACAAAGCTGTGCCTGTGCAGTGCAGAATTGAGGCAGGGGTGCCATCCCTGCAGGACACTCAGTGATCATCCACCACAGCTAAAGCACTTTTTAAATAAACAGGGTACCAACAGCTAAAAACCTTCAAATAATCATGCAAGAAATTAAAAAAAAAATCAGTACATTATTTTATTTCTCAAAGAACAAGTCTGTTAAAGGATTAAGTAATCAGACACTACAATTACTTTGCTCATGACTTTAAATCTGTTTTTTGATTAAAAATGCAAAAAGGGTGCACTCCAGCTATTATTATCTAAGTTTGGTTCCACCAGACGAAGCGAGTCTGTTTGAGGCTAAGCCTGTCACCAGCCCGTGGTGGTTTTGGGTGTGAGGTCTCATTCACAGGCAGTGTGGGGCTGGCACACCAAGGCCAGGGCACCACCACATGCTGGGGCTTCACCACCCACCAAGGCACCCCAGGGACAATTCCACACCTTAAATAAAACCAGAAGCAGTGCTGAGGGTCTGTGTGCCCTGGGCAGGTTCAGCACTGCCTGCCCTGAGTCTGCCCGGCCATGAGGCTGAGAGCTGGGGCACCAGGACAGCGTTCTCTCCTTTGGCCTGGCACCAGGACAGCGTTCTCACCTCTGGCCGGGCACCAGGACAGCGTTCTGTCCTCTGCCCTGGCACCAGGACAGCGTTCTCACCTCTGGCCTGGCACCAGGACAGCATTCTCACCTCTGGCCTGGCAGCAGGGAGACAGGGGGCTCCCGAGGAGCAGGATCGTTCCCTGCCGTTTTTGTACAATGCAACAGCTCCCCCATCTTACAGACTCAAGAACTCAAAGTGGAAAAGCATCCCCAGGAAAGGAGGGCTGGGCTCACTCTGCAGCTTCCCCCGTTCTCTGGAAGGACAGGCTGGCAGCGCACGGTACCTGAGGCGTGCTCATCTCCAAGGCGCTGCAGGGAAGAGAAATGCACTTCACACAGTGTGACATTTGACATTTCGGTGATTAGGGCAGCGAATTTCCTCCTCGTGAGGATGAGCAGGCACTGCCGGCCGCAGACACTTTTGATGAGGTACCACGGTCTCTCTCAAGCAGCACCATGCACTGCCTCTTGCCGTGCTTCTCTCCGGGCTGTCGGCAGCTGCGGATCCCGGCGCTGCTGCCCTGCAGTGCTGCTGCTCTCCTTTAGGGTGTACACGCGGCACACGGTACCGGCTCCGAGCTGGGGAAGGGCCGGGAGAGCCGAAATCAGAGCGGAGTGATGGAGAGCTGAGATCAGAGTCGAGATCAGAGTGGAGTGATGGAGAGCTGAGATCAGAGCTGGGCTCAGAGCACAGTGATGGAGAGCTGGGCTCAGAGCCGAGATCAGAGTGGAGTGATGGAGAGCTGGGCTCAGAGCCGAGATCAGAGTGGAGTGATGGAGAGCTGGGCTCAGAGCCGAGATCAGTGCACAGGGATGGAGAGCTGAGATCAGTGTGGAGTGATGGAGAGCCGAGATCAGAGCCGAGATCAGAGTGGAGTGATGGAGCCGGGCTCAGAGCTGTGCTCAGAGCCGAGATCAGAGCCAGGCTCAGTGCACAGGGATGGAGAGCTGGGCTCAGAGCTGGGCTCAGTGCACAGTGATGGAGCTGGGCTCAGAGCCAGGCTCAGTGCTCAGGGATAACAGTGACATTATCCCCGAGCAGCTCCTGGCACAGCTCCTGGCACAGCTGCCACCATTGCGGCCATGGGCACCCTGCCCCTCTGGTGCCCCAGGTCCAGCAGCAGCTCCCAGGGACACTGCTGGCCCCGGCACAGCTCAGAGCACTGCTCGGGGCTGTGGCCTGGGGCTGGGGAGGAACTCTGAAGGGATAAGGGACAGCAGCCCCCTGTGGCACCGGGGTGCTCAGACACCTTGTCACCAGCAGCTGCAGCACGGTGGCTCTGTGCCAAGGCCCCAAATCCCTCCTTCTGGAGGTGACTGAGGGTTAGAAAGTGCATAAAAGAGCTATTTGTGTTATTTAAACAAAGCACTTTCCTCCAGGTCTCATTATTTCAGCCAAGAAAAGGAAGTTATGAAATCATTTTAAAAATTATACCTGTGAGGGGAAAAAGATTTCAGGTTAAAGAGTTACCAGCTCTGCCAGTAAAAAACCATTTTAACACTAGTTGGAGAGAGCAAGAGAAAGCCCCCAGCTTGTTCAGAAGGGTAATAGGGAGGCGACTGAGCCCAGCAGGGTGAGGGTGCCCAAGGCAGGGTGAACCCTGGCCAGAGCTCACCTGAGTAATCCTGAGCATCCCCAGTGCCAGGGCCACGCAGGACAGTGCTGTCCATGAGGTACACTGCCAGGCACTGGGAATAACAATGCCAGGGCACAGAGCTGGCCCTCCCCAGGGCACTGAGGTTTGTCCAGCACAGCCTGTCCCCTTGTCCCTGGGCACTGCAGGGAGCATTCAGGCCCAGACACCCCTGTGAGTCACTGAGGCAGCCAGGAACACCCCAGGAGAGAGCCCAGGAGAGGGGAACAAGAGGGAGGAGAAGAGTTTTGGGTGAGACCCTGGCACAGCAGCCACACACTGTCCCTCAGTCTGGGTCCAGGATCAGACAAGGGGGTCTCCATCCCAGCCAGGAGCGAGTGAACCTCCCCACACACCCACAGCTCCCACCCTCCTGGGTGCCCCAGGGAGGGACAGTTCTCCCCCTGGGTACAGTAACTAGCTGCTGGTGTCAGTCTCATGTCCAGGAGGATTTCAGGCTGACAGAAGATGCAGCAGCCCTTGCTCGAGCACCTGAGGCCAGAGAGCACAGGACATTGCTTTGGCTGCAAGGATGTGCAGCTCCTGGGCTGGTACCAGTTCAGAGTGCTCTGAACCAGCCCTCACAGTGTGTTTGTGCTGGATGGTGCAAACCAGTGCACCCCCAGTGCACACCAGGCTCTGGGCACATGCTTCCACTGAGTTTCCACCGAGCTTCTCCATGTTCCTATGGCCAGGGGAGCTGTACCCCGATGTTTGCCTCCCCTGCCAACAGCAGCCACACTGCTGGCATCACTGGCATGCCAGCCCCCCTTCTTCTGGGGCACCAGAGAACTGACAGAGCAGCAAATGCTTGAACCTGAAGCCCAAGACGCTGGTGGATGCCAGCCAAGACCACGGATGTTTTACCAGGGAGCTTCTTATTGTCTCTCTTCTCTCTCCACAGGGGAGCACACTGTGAACGCCAAATCAGGGCTGAGCGCGACAGTGCCTCCAGCTCCAAAGGAGACTGGTGCTCGGAGTGAGCGCGGGGCAGGACCGCCCCAGCAAAGCCGGCTGACATGAGTTCATTGAGGGAGAGAAGATTTAGACTCATTTCCTCCTGCCAGCCCTTCTCCCCTGCATCAGCTCGAACGAGCTCTGTGGAACAGCAGCTGGCACTTGGAGATAAACACTAACAGAGGCTCAGCCTGGCAGCCCAGCCCTGGACAGAGGCTGCCAGGAGGACAGAGGATGATGCAGCTCTGTGTTCCTTGCGAGACCAGGGTCACGGGTTGCTGTGGAGACCACTTCCAAGTTCTCAGGTCACACGGACAGCCCTGAGCCCAGGAATACCGATGCGCTCCCTCTTCTCACCCTTACCCAGCCAGACACTATATCCCAAAAAACTTTGGCATGGTATCAGCAGAGAGGCATAAGGACTGCCACGGCTCCTTCCCGTTCCTGGAACGGGGCTCCCACCACGTGCATCTCCAGCCAGATGTGTCCCGGCAGCGTTGCTCCCGCTGCCTCCGAGCTGCCGAGCAGTCCGTGGGTTTTCTCCCGCACCCTCGGCGGCGGTGGCGGCTGCAGAGTCCCGGGGCAGCCCCGGAGGAGCCGGCAATGCCTCCCGTGCCAGGGGAAGGGTGTCGGGGCAGACGGGGCCATTGCCCGGTGGTGGCAGGGCAGCGCCTGCACATCCCTCCAGGTGCGGGGTCACTGCCCGCTGACGAGGTTCGTTAATTAGCTCCTCTTCCAGGCTCTGCAGGCAGCGCTCCTCTTCTTCGGGTCCTGCAACATCCCCGGCGTTTTCCCACAAAAGAACACTAGAAAAGGGTGCCAGTGTTCCATAGCACGAAATGCACTCTCCTCCTCCCTGTTAGAGATCCAGGAGACAGGTAACGATGCCGCAATCCCCAAAAACGCTCCAGTTTACTGCCCCCACAGATGACCCAGCGTTTCCTTCTGCTGCTAGGACCATCCCTCCTAGAAGTGCGGTGTTGCAGTCCGTGCCCGCGGACCGGCGGGGCACGGGCAGGA